ATCCTACTGATTATAGTAATTATAATAGATCATTAGGTTCTTCAGTTTGTATAATAAATTATATATATTTCAATTTTGAAATCTAATATTAAAGATATTTTATTATAGAATTCTTCTTTAAAATAATTTTACTTGTAATCTTCTTTTCTTATATAGACTTTTACATCTTAATTCTAAATATGTCTTCAGTAATTGCTTCATATATTTTGTTAAATATATATGTATCTTCATTTACTTTAATAATTTGCTAACTAATTGTATTTTTTATTTTTTATTAACACTAACAAAAAAGTGTATTATATTTAAAATTAGGAAAAATGATTAAAGAAAAATAGTTATAAAACTGCAATAATGATTAAATTTAATGAAAATTAAATAAAAAAAAATATTAAATATATTAAATGCAAATTGATTTTTTCACATAAAATTTTACTATGATTGAATATATTAAAACTTAATAAAGAAGTTTTATAAGAAAAAATTTAAAGTTTATATTAAAAAGAGATAGTATATTATACAGATTCTTAAAAATTGAATATAAAATTATAACAATAATAGATAATCAATATTTTAATTTATAATACTTTATATAGATTATATATATAAATTAGTATTATTTAAGACCTATTTTATAAACTAAAAGAAGGGAGATTATATTAAATAAACTTTTTAATTAATTTAGTTTTATTTATATTAGTTATTTTAAAAAACTTTTTTTAAATCATAAATATGTTAGTAAATTCCTGATAAATAATTTCACCTTAATGTATCAGCTTATAAAATTGCATTACTTTCACAATAATATTTTTTAAGAAAAGGTTAAAATGTATTTACCTTTTTTAAAGAAATATTTACTTTGATAAATGTCTCTATAAAGTCTTAAATTACTAATTTTTTTAGATTCTGTAATAGATAAGATACTTTTTAAAATTTATAATAGGTATTTTTTATAAAAGATTTATAGTTTTTTTATATGAATTTACTTTTAAATGTGTAGAAATACTAACTTTATATTTTCAACTAATAGAATGCTTACAAAATCTACATATAAGAAAGTTATTAAAAATATCAAAAGTATTTAAAAATTCTCTTTGATGTATATATAATGACTTATTTTAATTTAATTAATATATTTGCAATAAAAAAAATTTAAAAATGATAGATAAGATCTTTTTATAATTAATAGTCAATTATATTTTTTTTAATTTAGTTTATTTAGGTTAATAATATTCTTTTTATATAAAATATTACAAATAAAATCTTTTGATTTATTTTAAAAATTATTTTCAAAAATTTTACAAGTCCTTAATATTAACTTAATCTTAATTTAATTATAATTTTATTTTAATACAATTATTTTTTAATTTAATTTAACACTTATCTGAACTTAACTAATCTAACTTAAAATTAAAGTTAAGCTTAGATAATTTATTAAATAAATTAATTACATATTAATATTAAGATTAAGGTTAAATTAATTTTTTATTAAAATATTATTATTTATTTTAAATTTATTAAAAAATATATTAAAATTTTACATTTTTTTCTATTTGATAATGATTGATTTATAAAAGATTTAAAGAAATGTAAAAAATTTATTTAAGATATTAGATTTGATTTTATATTAGCTGAAGTTTATAATTGACTTAAAAGATAAACTATATCAGTTTCATAAATCTCATTCAAGAAATTTCTTATGTAAATTTTAATAATATTATTGTAATTATGGAAATTATTCAAGATGATTTATGTTATATATCTTATTTTGAATTAAAAAAAAGTCTATAAATTTGCACTCAATATAGTTGATATTACAAGTTATTCAAAATAGGCTTATCTTTTAATTAAATATAAATTTGCTAATATATATATATCAAATTTTAAGATTAAATTATTAAGTAATAAATGAATATAATATTAAAATTTAATTAGCTAATTTTAATAAAAGTATAAGTATTATTAAAAGATTTAATAAAATTTTATAAAAAAATAAACATTATTTATTAAAATATTATTGAAATAAGATCATTTCTATCAAAATATTATTGAGATTAGATAACAGAACTTTTAATTTTTCTTATAAATCTTGATAATACTATAATTCAAATTTAAAGAATTTCTCTTATTAAAACTTGAAAATTAAAATATATTATGTTAAATTTTTAAATTTCATAATAATTTTATAGAATATAATAAAGTATAATTATCTTATTAAATATTTAGTTAAGCTGAATGAGTTAAAAAATAAAAGAAGACATGTAATTAATATTAATTAGTTTATCATATTTGAAAAATTTTGATATAAAAAAATCAATCTACTTTATATTAGCTAAAAAATAATAAAGGTAATAGTCTAAAAAGATCTTTTGTAAAAATAAAGCTTATAATTATTTTATAATAAATTTTCAAGAATTAAGAAAATCTTTAGGTTTTTTATTAGCTTATTATTTTATGATAAAATATTTTTTAGTTAACTTATAATATAATTCATATAATTTAATAATAGTAAATATAATTCTTTTATATTGGGACTTGTAATTATTTATAATTATTTGATATTTAATTTTATTAAAAATATTCTTTTTATATTATTTAAGATATATTTTTTTGATTTTCTGCTTGTCAAAGATTATTCTTTATCATCTTTTGATTTTTATAATAAAGATATATCTTAATCATATTAATCATAACTTGTTTGATTTTTTAAAAAAATAGGCTTGATAGTTATAGCTTTATTTACTAAATATTAGTAAATTTAAAGTTGATTACTCATTGTTTAAATCTTGTATAATCTTTTTCTTTAAATAATTATTTTGATATAATAAAAAATTTATAATATATATACTCCTGTGCAAAAAGTTTAGGACCACTTCTAAGATTACAATAGCAATACATAAATTGAAAAAATATTTATTTATTTGTGTAATAAAATAAACTATTTATACATATTGTTTAGTGATGATCATCACACAAAATAATTTTTTTTCCTATATTTATTTCTCTTTATTTCCATAAAAATGGTTAAAAGAAAAGAATTAACAGATTTTGAATATGGTAAAGTTATCAGCTTTTATGAAGCTGGTGATTCCAAAAGGGCTATTTCAAAAAAAACAGGTTATGGTAAAATGATAGTATATAATATAATAACAAAATATCGTAAGAAGTGTGTTATTTCTGTTACTAATAGAAGTGGACGTTCTAAGAAAGTAACTGAACGAGACAAGCATCATCTTAAGACTATTATTGTCAAAAACTGACGTGAACCTGTTAAAAAAATAAAAAATTTTTATCAAGTCTACTAAAAATGTAATATATAAGCAACTATGAAAAAAAATATTATATAAAATGGGATATAACAGTCGTACAGCTCTTAGGAAACCCAATATAAATGAGAATAACTGAAAAATTCATTTAAATTATGCTTGTAAAAGGTGTTTATATACTATAAATGACTGGAAAAAAGTTGTGTAAAGTGATGAGTCTAGATTTACTTTATTTTAGAATGATGGAAAAATTCGAGTTTGTAGGCTTTCTAAAGAAAAATACAATATTAATTGCCTTGTTCTAACTGTAAAACATGGTGGTAAAGGAGTTATAATGTGGGTGTTTTTCCTAGTATAGGTTAGATCCTTTGATAAAGGTTAATAGTTGGATAAATAGTAAAAGATATATTCAAGAGATCCTTAGTTACCATTTAGTTTCATTTTTAGAGGAATTTGAAGAATAAAATGGAGAATATTTGTTCAAATAAGATAATGCATCAATTCACACAAGTGAACAAACATGAAATTTTATTAAAAAAAGGGATATAACTTGGTTACTTTGATCAAGACAAAGTTCTGATCTTAATCTCATAAAGCATTTATGAGATGAACTTGAGCATCGAATCTAATTAAAGCAAAAAAATTCAAGAAATGTGAAAGAATTAGAAGAAGTTCTTTAACAATGTTAGTTAGAGATTTCAGATGAAATTTATCAAAATCTTATTAAAAGCATGAATCGTTAAATAAAAGCAGTAATAAAAGCCCACGACCATTTCACCAAATATTGATAAATACTTTTATCACATTTTATAAAAGTAAATATCAAAAAATATTTTTTTTTTCATTTTTTTATTGAAAATTATTTCTTTTTACTAAAGAAACTTTAATATATATTAATTTTTTCAATTGTACGGGTTTTCAGATTCCTTTTTTTTTGTCGATAAATTAAATGCTTTTTAATAATTATGATTTAAATAAATATAATTATACGAATTATTTTTTTTATTCAATAAAATAATTATAAATAACTTTTTATAGCTTAATAAAATGTTAGTTAAAAAAACCATTTGTTTTACAATTTATCATGTGATCTTAAACTTTTTATACAGAAGTATATAAAGGATATATTTATCTATTTATTCATTACTTTAGTAAAATTTGTAAAAGATCTTATATGCTTAAAGAGAAATGCTCTATTTATTAAAAAAAATTAGTTAATAAAAACATACTTTTAATAATGAATGTGAAAAACTTATTAGATTAAATTTGACTGATATATCTTTAATTAGTAAAAAAGATAAATTAATGATTCTATATAAATAGGATAAAATTTTCTTTTAGAAGTTTGAGAGTTTATTAAATAATTTAATTTGAATATAAAAAACATTTGCATAGTAATAGAAAGGTAATACTTATTTATTATCCTTATTAAAATAAACTATTCAAACATTCACATTTTTTCTTAAGTAACTGATCATAACAATATGTAGATTAGTAATACAAGAAATGAGATTTAATAACAAATTTACTTTAAATATTATAAATGATATGTTATAGATTTAAACATTATTTTCAATAAATACTAAATACTAAGCAAAACAAAAAAGCAATTTCTTCTTATTTTAATAGATCAAAAATCATTAAACTGGAATCAATAACAAAAAAAAATTCTTCAAAAAAAAATTTTTTTTAAATAAGCTAATAAATTATTAATATCTTCATTTATTTCGAAATAAATTATTCATCTCTAAAGTCTTTTGATTCTGCATTGTATTCGTTAATTATTAATTCAATCTTCTTTTCAAACCATTCTTTACTCTCAGCGTCAGGAATAGGAATAAATGGTCCTGGTGCATTCCCTTTTAGGTTAAGTAAAATTCCGCTGGGCTGCAAAGCAATAGTTTGAAGATCTAAAACAACCAATATAAAATTAACATGAATTCTGTAATTTAATCATTATATAATTTTAGGGAAAGATTGATAATTCGTACCTGAAAATGGAACTTCCCATTCTACTTTTAATTTTCTATTTTTTACGAGCATAATGCGCGATCGTGTGAGCATTACCACTTGCTCATCTCCTCTAAGATCTGTTTAGAAAATGAAAATTCGTTATTAAGACAAGAATCGAATAATGTGCCTTCATAAAAGTGAGCTTACCAAGATGTGCAATATATTCTGCTTTAAAATATTTTCCATCTTCCAATCCTTTCAGCCAAGATTGTCCTAAAGCTTCTCTTTGTTGATAGGGCTATATTATAATACGAATACATTAATAAATTAGCGGACAATCAACAAATAAAAAGTATAAATGAATAGATACCTTTAGTATTCCATCCCTCCCGACATATCTAGGTAATCTTGCCGGTGCAATATCGTTTTCATCAAAAACAGTGGTAGTATTTCGAATTCCTTTATAGGAATAGTTGTCAACGACAACTTAGTCAGCATTTTAACATCATAAACATTAAATAATAAGTTACACAAACCTTCTGTTACATTGCTTGCAAAATCAAACACACCGACAACAGGTTTAGTTACGAAACTGAAATAAAAATTGATGTTAATAAATATTACGTAGTTATACTTGAATTTGAACATAAATGATCATTACCCAACCAATCCTTTTCCTACTCCTTTGAGCAACCCAGCTGCACCTTCTCTCTCGGCACCTTCTAAAGGTTTACGCTAAATTGAAATTATAACTTAATGTCAATTTTGAATAGATAAAGGATGAAATATCATAAGAATTAACTTACTGCTAGGCCCTCAATGCCGCTTCCAAAACTTGTTACTAGAGAATTAACTCCTTGGCTAACACCATACAATGCATGTTTGGGCTTATTCCTGAACTGGGTCATTCTTCGCCGATCTTGGTAAGATTTATCCAAGGTTGCAGCAGAAAGACCTATATGATAGTAGTAATTTTATGTAAACAAATGAGTTTTTCAATTTTATAAATCATCATAATAAATTATTGTTCTATGATACAAACCTTTTCCTATACTTCCTGTAACCTTAGAAAAACTGTCGCTAAACCCATACACAGTCTTCTTGAAGAAACTCGTTGCGCCCTTTTTTTAGAAAAAAAAAATTGGTATGGATTATTTTAATATTTAAGGACGAAAATAAAACATATAATAATTACTCTTGCAAGTCCAATTCCAAGATCTTGGGGCCGATCGCTCATCACGAATCCTTGGTATGGCTCGTAGAAAATATCAACGACTCCAGAACTAAGGTTATTGAATAGACCAACAGGATTACCCAAAAAGTCAGCTGAACCAACAATTTTATGTACCTATTTAACAAATAATGATGATTAGTATTTATCTTTATGAAATACAAAGAGGTAAAGTGATTTTGATATATACTTGGTAGATAAAAGCTTCACCATAGTGCTGCCTAATACGATCGATTAATACAGGAAGACTGACGCGCATATTTTCCATGGCAAGAGCATTAAGTTTAATTGGTGCATCCTATATTATATATTATAAAGGTGGTTAATAAAGTAATGTGAAACGAAATTTTTTATTCAATGACAACATACATTGATGTTTCCGATTGCCATCGTCAAAACATTGAAAAAGAACATGATTGGATTACGTGGTGCTGGTCTTTTAAGAAAGTTTAAATTTAATAAACGTGCTCATTGATAAAGATAGACACAAAAAATAAATGAAAATTACACATACTTATTTTCAACGTTTATACGTTCTGTCCTGACAAATGAAATATTAATTTTCATTGGATGTATGTGCAAAACCTCAAAGTACCACTGATTATCTCCTTCAGCTGATTTTGGCTCAGGAATATCAAGCGTTCCATCAATAAGTTGTCTGCAATATTATTATTATTCGAATTATTTAAAGAAATTATATTAGCAATAATATACCATATCCTACTTACACTTCCTTTTCTTCACGATTGCTCGGACCTTCAATTTTTGTAAACTCGAGCAATGCAAAGAGAAAATCTTCATCGATTTCAAATGTCATTTCTTGCAACAATAAAGAAAAGTATTTAAAGTATATGACACCGTGTGCTAATAATAATACGAATATAATGTTAGAGTACTAATTAATATATAATAAACAACAAGAAAATATGTAAGAAACTTACATTCATCTTTTGCCTTAATAAGTGAAGCATGAAAGGCTGGATGAACTTCGGTTTCTTTTGTATCTTTTGGAATAACCGTTGGATATAAAATAATTGGATATAATCCGCCATATAATTGATTATCAATCTTTTAAAGAACAAATGGTTCAGTATCTTTTCATAAATGTTTATCGACATTATTATTATTGTTATAACGCAAAGCTCATATATACCTGTAGCCATTTAATAATAAAATTGATGGATTGATATAGTGTAGAATCATTGTACTTGAACTCCAATCCGCGCATTGAAGCATAAGTCAATTCCTTAAAAATAAAAGGAATATCAGCAATCAATAAAGATTGTAATTTATAAGATATTTAAAACTACATACCTGCATTCGTTTGTTAATCACAGAAATACCAATACCTTCCAATCTAATCTGAAAAGTTAAGGTAGTAACTGAATCCACGTCAATCTGATTAAAATCGATCAACATTAGTAAATATAAAGGAGGAAGTTAGAAAATTCAAATAATTACGCGACGCGTACCACTTCAAAAGCATCTTTACTGGTGTCATCTTTAGATACTGATGAAATTGATGGAGTTCTTGGTCTAAAGATACTTTCTGACTGATTGTAATTAGTAAGCAACAAAACTTGAGTCGGGCCATCAGCAGCAACCTCTATAGACAATATATTGTGTCGTCCTCCTTCAATCTAAATATTATGAATTATAAGTAAATGAGAATGTATAATATAATCATAAACGATTATTAAAGATTATGATATTAAGTTACCGGATATTTAAATGGTATTAGTGATCCGATTTCTTGAATATTAACCACTCGCTCAGTATTATTTACGTTTAAGACCAAATGCTTTTCCTTTTGTGCTGGGAAGTCCCACGAATAAGGTAATGCGTTTCCAGGATAAAGGTTATATTTTTTTATATTTGGGCTTTGTGTACTTGTACCAAAGAAATCACGACGGTTCGGGTCCTACATGGATGTAGGCCGAGTTTCAGTTGGATAGCAAAAGTTCATTAAAAAATCGAAAATAAACTGACCTGCTGGTAAAAGGTAACTTCAACATCTGAATAATTCTCAATACGGAATGGCCATTTTCCTTCCTCTTTGTTAAATATTACAAAAACCGTAGCATCCTCAAGTAAAATTTCAGTTCGAATTAAGTCAATCACTTCATCTGATTTTCCAAGCCTGACGTGAACTCTCCCGAGTTCATCAATATTAAAAGGAGCAGACCTATTAAATTATTATGAGCAACTATGAATAGGATTCATAGAAACAAAATATTTTAATTTAAAAAGTATAAATACCAAGATTTATTTAATCCAGGGTAACATAGCATAAGCTGTTTAATGATTCCCTTTTTTAAGAAATGAAGAGGAGCACGATCTTTGGATTTAACCGTCATAAAGTTAGTCGATTCTGGTTCGCGGAAATTAATATCCTCATTCAAATTGTTTTTGAGAATAAACCGTGGGGTGAAAGTCACAATTTTAGTCAGTTTATACTACAAATAATAAGTTGAATATATAAAAGTTAACCTTGGCATAATGAATAAATATATTCATCTTCGTTAATTTAAAACATTCTTACCTTCTTGTGACCTTCTTGAATGCTGCCACCCAGATGTATTTCTTCAGTTTTTGTTGAGGAGGGTATAACAATTTCCATAAATGTACCAACAGCTTCAAAACTTAAAGGCTGCAAAAAAAAAGTCGAATTAGTTATAAGAATCCTAGAGGAAATAATCACGAGAGAATGTAACCAATTAATTACCCTACTCCAATCTGAATCTCCTACTTTTAATAGAGCACGATTTCGCGTTTCATCATTTGGGTAAGAGAACATATATGGAGCGACCTAAACGAACAATGACAAGAATTAATAACGCTAATTTAAAGAAGAAGTAATTAAAGCAGAACCGCAAACCTGGTTTTTCTTCTTTGATGTTCCTATACAATGATGATGATTCCGCGTGAATGATAATATAATTTATTATTTCCTAAAATTTTGTGTATAACTTACCTTGTCCGGCAGCAATCTTAGCGGCAGTTAAGAATGATTTCGATTTGAAAACCATATCAAGACCCGTTTTGTTGATCATTATATATGGGCTATATACACTAAACTTGAATGCTCCTCCAGAATCGGGAACTTCTCTGTAAAGATATCTGCATATTAGCATTTTCATAAATCATTCCAAAGATTTCGATTAAGAATTACTAACGTGTAATGAATTCGGAGGTATAATTTTAAACCTACGGAATCTGTAAGTGTCAACGTATTATCAACTGAAAAATCGGAATTTGGAGAACTAATGATAGAAAATTCGCTGGTAGCATAATCTTGCAAGGAAATGAATGCATAAGCAGTATAAGTGGAATATACAACGATTAAATCAAATGAAGGCACACATATACTAATATCATACCCGTATCTTCTATGGTAACATTAAGTAGTAATAAATGATTCATTTCTATCAAATGTAGAGAAGTTACTCCTCCTTTTTGTAGAGAGTTATCGGGCCAATCCTGATTTGTAGTTTTGTCATAAATTCTGAATTTGAAGTCGTAAGGTAACAGATTTTCAACTTGTATCGGAGCGCTTAACCGAATAGCCATACAAGGGTACTCCCTATTAGGATACATAAATTTAGAGCCTTTTTTTTTTTTTTTGCGTATATATTTGATACGTTATACTTACTTTACAAGAGGATCATTCTTTTTGTACCTAGCAAATACTTGGAAACGGAACGGTACATCATCTTGTATAGATTTGCATGTGATAGACTTTATAGGATTAGGTTTTATGAAATTTTGCCAATATAAATTTTCGACACTCCAATTGTAACCAAACCCGCCTGTGTGAACAAAATAAATAATATAATTTTTTTTTAATACTGCTTTTAAAAAATTTGATTAAACATCATTTTGAAATATAATTACCCTCAGGCCTGATCTGAAGAAGATTATTATAAGCATGTTCTATAGGAACAGGACAATCTTCACCAGGAGCTAAACGCCATAAAATTTTTGAAAATCAAAAACCAGAAAAAAATTAATTATAAATTATAAAAAAGAGTGCAATAACTTGTATAATTTACCTATTTGATAAACGTCGCTAACATTCTTGTTTTGTTTGTCAACAATTTTCATCTCAATTGTTAAAAGCGTACGATTTTCAAGAACTAAAACCGATCGGAAAGTTACCACTTTTATGTTGTCTTTTAGTTTCACATCAACCACCATACGGTGAGTGACCCCACCAACTTTAGGTCGTAATTTATACAAGGTCTCTGCTTCCCTATCTACAGGGATCTCCCTAATACACTCCCATGTTGCACTATCAAATTGGATGCCTAACATGTTTTTTGTAATGCTCAGAGACTACAAATTATGATATTATTTAGGTTTAAAATATTAGAATAAAATTTTCGAATAATCATAATTAATAATAAAATAAACATTACCTCACGCGTTTTACGCCAGTCATCAAACCTCCAATCCAAATCTTTACCATCACCCATCTTCACTATCTCAGTATCTGTAGCATCATCCGAAGAAACAGACCATACGTGTAGATCGTACCCAGTTCTGTTTCTTAATTTATATGGAGTTCGCGAACCTCTTTTGGTATTCAATACGTGCTATAACCGATAAAATAAGAAAAGATAAATATAGGGATTTAATACTTCAAAACCAATAAAAAAAAAAAAATTGACAGGTACCTCTCTTTCGTTGTTAACTATAGAGAGAGTTGTCAAAATCGTTTCCATGAAAATATGTGTAATGTTAATCTCTAAACGTTTCTGAGAGGATAAATCAATAACCATGCTTTCTGGATTTAAATTTTTAGATGCCTAAACACAACATGATATTATAAATTAGATAAAGTAATCAAATAAAAAATTGATTGGCATATAACGCACGTGTAGACTGTAATGCCATGGCTCGACTAGTGGCTCCCAGTGAGAATTAGTTAAATTAAAATAATTTATATAAGTTGAAACGTTGGCGTCAACGCTTATCTGGAATAGTAAACAAATTAATAATTAAATGAGGGGAACATAAAAATAAATAAAAATATATATATATATATATATATAGCGAACCTGTGATGACCAGTCTGCCACATTTACAGAAAATTCATTCGCACTAGCATCAATCATAGGTATGTCGTGTTCATCACCAATAATAACGAGTCGAGTACCTTGAAAAGTTGCTTTAAGCTGGAATAAATGATATATAACATTATTAAATGTGAACGTTAAGCGGTGAATATAAATTATTTGTCAACAGTAAATACTTACCGTTTCTCGAGTCATCATCAAAGTCTGTAAAACGCTTGGACGACTCTTTGAATTTCCACCTTTTTTAGCTGCAGTTAATGAATCATAGTTAAAACTTTTAGATGACGCAACATCTAATGGCATGTTCTTATCAATAGGTGCTGGCCCTGGTTTATCTTCTTTTTCTGGAGGAGATGATGAAGATTGCGATGAGAGCTCAGAAACTTTATTTACTATTGACATGATTAGTAACACATCCCTATATGAAAGTCTCAACGTAAGGTGTCCTACATCAACATTGATGTCGGTAAGTTGTTGACCTGGTTTAGATGCTCGAGTATCAAGAGATACAGCAATATTAAAGTTATCAATGAAACGTAAAGGAGAATCTTCTCTCTTATCCATTCTACATAAAAACATGCCAAGTTTTTCAACAGTGAATGTCATAGTTTGTTGCTGTGTGATGACTATTTGATTAGAAGAAAGAACGATTGCTTCAGTACTTTCTAAATGAGGGTTCGCTAATAAGATAATTTCTGCGTCAGAAACGTTCAAACGATAATTTAAACTGGTAGTGACTTGAGGTTTTGCGGGGGGTTGACGTGTTGGTAAAGATGGGGTAGATGATTGTGATTGACTAGTGAAAGACCTTGGTGGTGTTCTTGGAGGGTTTGAAGGTGATGGTGATACCGCTTGTTGTGATTCGGAAGTAACTTTATTTGAAGATTCAGTATCGGTAACAAATGCGCTCATAAAATAATTACGTGTAGCAAACAAATGATCAAGAGTGAGAATTATCCGTGGACTATCAACTGTAACGATAGCGATAATATTCCTTTCAGTACCACCGGAAATTGTGACACTAACGCTAAATTGAGGGGCATCTTTGTTAACAGCCGGTAATATTTCTCTATAGGCATTTTTTACATTTGGTCTAGTATCATTTAGAGTAGCAGATTGAAGACTAAATTCTGCAGTCATAGAATTATTTGATTCCATTGAATATTTGATTTTAGTTTCATTAAGACAGAATTTTGATAAACTTGTATCTGATAATGTCTTCGCTTGAAAACCGTCTCCAGAAAAGATTTCTAAATATATTTGATTCACAATGAACTTAAGATCGATGGTAGTCCATGTCTGAACAACTTCGTCATCCTTTTGTGATGAACTTGTTTCTGTTGCACCTGAATTCCTAGGATGTTGAGATGGACTCGTTGGAGAACCAGAAGTATTCTTATCTGTAGATTCGCTAGTACCAAAAGCTCGAGGAATAGTATTTGATAGGTCAAACAAATATTTATACTGTTTTTCTGTTAAAGACATCTTAACATCCGACATTCTCCCATCAATCTATTTTTAAAAGCAATTATTAAATTATAAATAGTTTCTATACAAAATTATTTAATAATAAAATTCTTTTTTATTCCTTACCTCCATATCTGGTCTAGTTGAACCCTCAACATGTTCCGAGTAAGAAATTCTAAAGTTGATATCAACATCGTCAATAATTTGCAAAACTTGTTTCTTTTCATCAGAAAAAACAAATTCCGAAGTTAATTTAATCTTTTTAAGTTCAGCCTTAATTTGGGTAAGTTCTCCTCTTCCATGTTCATTAGGTATGAACTCATTTGACGCGGATAATTCACCAAGATATGCGATCACGCAATCGGTTGATTTAACATCATTGGTAAAAACAACAATCGGAGTCTGAACCACAATATCGAAATGGAATTTCGATACTCTCTCTTGCAACTGTGCCGCTTGTTGAACAGCAGCGTTCCTAGCTGAATCATAAAGACCCTTCATTTGAGCAAATTTACTACCAAATTCAAGCAAAAGCCTAGTAGGTTCTTCAAGAAAAGTCAATTTGGCAGAACCAGCTCGTAAATAAACCGATGAGTCATAGCCAGGGAAACCTGGCGATTTTTCATCAAATGTCTCATATTGAAAAACGGCCAAATCCTCCCCTTGAATAGTAAGCAATTGACGCAATGATTCGGGTCTATTTTCCCCAGCCATATCATCAGAAAGTGAGAAATTGCCTAATCGAGCCCCAACGCGAATAGTGTTTTGTCTTAAAAGTACGGCAACATCTGCAAGCGATAATAATCCCGTCGCTAGTCTAACACCATCATTATTTAATATAAACCTGATACTATTAAGTTTGACTTTAACTCTCATGGTTGAAGATTGTGTCGGTGGTGGTGATGGTGGTTGAGGTTTGGGAGTTTCATCTGATTCTGAACCAGGTTGCGCATCAACAATCTGGGGTGGAGATGTAGGGGGTTCTGTAGGAGACGATGTAAAAGTGTCCAATATGAAACTATATAATGTCAAAATACTTTTGCGAGTAACAATAACATTGATTGTAGACAATTCAATGTCGACGCTCTGATCAATTCCATCAAATTTCGACATGTATTCGGGTGATTTTCGATCAACTTTAGAATATTTAACGTGAACAAGATCTTTAGAATCTTCATATTGAGCATTTCCATATCCCTCAGAAGAAGCCAAATGTTTAAATTCTGGATAATTAGAAATTTTATCCTCGATACTCAGAGATTTAAGTACAACTATAGCAGACATATCGAATGGTCGAAGAACATAATTCAACCCGAAATGTTCCAGAACCATATCAACCAAAACAACTTCGGGTTTATTTGAATCTGTATCTGCCTTTTTTAAAGTTGCTGTAAATTTATCCACACGAAAATCAAATTCAAATGTTCTCTGTTTGGAGCTTGCATTATTAGGGTCCTTAAATGATATTATTAATTAGCAATCAAGAACAAAAACGCAAATAAATAAACTAATACATACGCCTGCATCTTGCGCGTCAAAGAATTCTTCTAAACTTTCTTCAGGAACCTCATCATCCTCCTCATCACTAGCGCTATCTATTACTACTAAATCTTGTAATGTTTTTAAACCAAGTTTTTCCGCCATTACCATAGAGTCTCTATGCTTACGATTCCATGCTACAGCTTTGTTTGCCAAATTTTTATTTAATAAAGGTTTATTATCTGATTTATCTGATTTATTATCTGATTTATTTTCTGATTTATTATCTTTTGTCTTGTCCTTCAAAACCTCCTCGACCAATCCAGTAAATGAAAATGTTTCAGCTACAGGATTTTGAACAGATTCTGCATTTTCTTTCGTACTGGCTGGTGTTATTTTTTCAATTATATTCATTATGATCTTATATTTTCTATCCGAGAAATTAGCTTTTAGTAAAGGTACGTGTCCTGTAACTCGAAATTTAGTCAGATAAGTTGCACGGGGTAATATGGACATTTCAACATTAAATTGCATATTGATACGATCAATGACATGAAGGCCGTAATTGGAATCAGAATGTCGTATCTGATCTAAACAACGGTCAACAGATTGTCCTACTAAAAGCTAACAACAAAAAGTAATCTGCGTTAGATTAAAATTAATCGATTTTAAACATTGACTTTCTTAAAAGGTTCTTGTACCTGAGTTGAAGAGAGTTGAACTGTAAAACGATCGTACATCAAAGGCTCCAACTCTTTATAGTCCTTTTCATTATAACCTTTACTTGCTTTTGCCTTTGATTGGATTTGAGAGAAGAGCTCTTTATTAACCAAGTTGCTCTCTACGCTGATGTGACCGGAATCTAGTACAACTACTTGAGCATCTGATTTTGTACAACTTTCAGGGACAATAAAAATTGGCGCGTTCATATCAATCTTTACGTCTATAGTCTTGTGCTCCTCTAATGCAAACTCAAATCCAGCTCTAGTCTGAGCTTTAAGTCCTTCTAAAGTATCTCCTGCTGCTTCCTACACAAATGAATATAAGAAATTTATTGCACTCCGTTATAATTAATTGAATTGAAAAAGTTCCAGCAGAAACTTACTAATAAAGCTGAAATTGATTCCAACTGTTGTTCTGGAGGTCTGAAAAAATCAGTAACCGCTTCAACGGCATTTCGATTATAAATAATCTCCAAGTGTCTCATTCTCATTGAAAGACCATTATCTGCTCTACCATCCAAAGGATTTTGTTCAAAAACTAATTGAAAGAATGGATTTCCTTGTGATTCATCATATTCGATATCACTTGCGCGATTATTTCTTGTCAAATCTTTTTGAGAGACTTTAGAATCATAATCTTTCACCCTAACTATTTGAGGGTATAATGTTCCTTCAGTGGAACCATCGTAAACACTTAAACTACCCAAAGAGGTTTCAGCTTGAAATGATTCAGGACGTTGAAGAAAATTTGCTGTCACCGTGTCAAACATAACCCTTAGTACATCAACATTTTTTCCATGAGGATCTTTTTTTAGAGCAAAAGATCCCGTTTTAAGTTTTGTTCTAAGTGAAAGTTTTGTCCACTAATAAAAAGAATTTTTTTTAATCATTATACGAAAGTTTAGGATGAAAATTATTTTATATAATAGCTTAAATATATCATACAAACCTCTTTAGGAATATCCACAGTAGTTTGCATTGCGGCTGACTCATCATAATCAATTGCTTGAAACAATTCTTTTCGTTGCTCATCGGTCAATAATGTGTCTCCCTCATTCACCTAGAACAAAAAATTTCCAATAAATTATATAATAAAATTTGTTACTAAATAAAACGAAATAAAAAAAAAAAAAAAATGCTTTTACATTCGATTGTGATCCACCCCACCACCATCCGCTTAACCAACCACCACCGGATTGTGATGATTGTTGTAATGATCGTTCCTTTTGTTTTCTAGCTATAATAAATTTAATTTAAAAATTTTAAAATCTTCACAGTTTATTTTATAAATTTCACACTTTTTTTATTACATACCAATTAAAGCCTTTTCTTTTCTTAATTGTGATTTTGCAATTGATCTGTAAAATCTAATATCCTCATAACTGAGTTTCTTTTCTAGTTGATCTAATTCGACTTGATTCTATAAAATACGCGTAATGTCAGTCGGAAAACAAAAAAAAATATATAAATCATTTTTAACACATTCTAATGTGTGTATACAAACCTCTGGTGTCATTTTTTCAAGTTGTTTATCTTTGTATAATTTTACGTATAAATGTCGATCGTCGCGACGTTCAACAAAGTAATCCCACGTAAATTTTCTATTACGCTCACGAATTTCTGAGATAATACAATTTCCTGCAAATCGCAGCCATGCTTTGGGATCTTGTTTAGGAGTTACTTTTAGAGGTCGGAATTTTCGATACTATAAATTAATTAATTAAAAATATTAATATAATCATAGCGTTCCTAAATGAATTAAACAAAAAATTTTCTTACTTGTTGTTGCCGCAGGTAAAAATGAAATAGGTCAACCATCAATAGAGCATCCCTATATTGTTCATCATCAAAGACGAACCCAAGTTCATCAAACAATAATGTTGCGGTAGTTTTGGGATCGTTTTCGTCAAAATGTTTATTTAGTACGAGCTAAGGGAACAAAAGGTGAATAAGTAAAAAGCAATTACGAACAAGAATTTTAGTTTTTTCTTGAACTTACGCGTCCAGAACCAGAAACGGGTTTAAGTACGTATTGATGTTCTGGAGGTATCATTTTTTCGGACGCGATCTTTTAAATTACAAAGTTAAGTTCATGTTAAAATTTTCATAAAGGTAATGTAAAACTACAACAAATTATAATATTACCAAGTTATTAAATAAATTGACGGCTTCCTTTGTTGAGTAGCCAGCCAAAGACCTCGAATCCGTGTTCCAATAAACAGCTAAACATCCTAAAGTGATTAACTTTTACGAAGCACAAGAAACCGTTTTAGGTAAATTTATAAAATTATTAAAATAATAACAAACGATATTTTTAATTCACTCATATTTTACCTTATGAATAGAACTAGTTTCTCCCTCAATGAATGTAGGTTTCCAATTACTGTCAGTTGAAACTGCCGAAAATTCGGAAAGGGTCAATCCCACAGAAAACGGATGCTAGAATTATAATAAGTTATAACATAATAATTTTAGAGCCGAATCAGCATGAAATATAATAATACAATATGAAAACGTACCCCCGGGTCACTAAGCTTATCTTCATAACGAATGTGAATGTTATTGATTGAAATCTGAAGATTATCAACAATTTTCGTGACTAGCTGATTTATAAAAGATTGGTTCTTTTGATCATCCTCTTCATTATATATTTATATAAAAAAAAAAGGAAGAGTTAAATCAGTCATTCTTACTATAAAAACGTTTAAAACATTGCATTGATTTAACCACCTGTCGGATCAGGTTGAGTATGTAACAATTCGGCATTTGCTAATTTTTCTTGTTTAAGTTGTTGAGCTCGTCGCTCATCTTCCTCAGGATCATACTAATAAAATTTTTACAATGATTTTATCAATAAACAACAAATCAAATCATAAATATATATTTTTTGACCTTAAATTAGATCTTAACCTCTGACTCGGCTTTTGGAACCGCAAGGAGATAAACATTATTTATGAAAACTTTAACGGGTTTATTCTTTAAATTGGACCAAGGAATATTTAACGTTAATTCCCCAAGATGTCCTAAAATATGTCATGCAAGAATTTTTTTTTTTACATTTGGAGAAAATTTTTTCGTTCAATAGAATTTTTTTAAGTTTTTATTCAGAATTCACACCTTCTAAAACATCAATGGGCAAATCAAACTTGTCGAGAGCTTCTTTCTTAAGTTGTAAATTTCTTAATACAACGTCACCTTTAAAAAAAAAAATTTAACGGTTCAGTTTATAATTTTCTTTTAAAAAAAACCCCCCTCCCCTTCAATTCTATGCAGACGTGCCTGTCCATATTGCAACGTTAAGTTGGTTAACTTCGAGGTTAGAGACATAAGCTCCAAGAAAACGGTTCAACACGGTAGCAACAAGAGACTCGAGCATTATAGTGTTGAATTAAATGTGAAAAGTTTTCTCGCGCAATATAACCTTAAAAAACATAAACGATGGAATTTGTGATTAGATCTCAATATGATATCATTTAAAAGATCAGCCGCTGAAAATGCACAGCACCAAAAGCTAAAAACTCATGATTATCAATAAACATCACTTAAAGGTAATCATTGTGTCAGAGGACGCGTCAGCAATTTCTTAAGGTTATTCCGGGGCGTAAATTGACTAATGTTGCGCCACAAATGAATATTAAAAGATCGACTAAATGTAATAATATACTAAACAGGAATCAATATCCAAATATTCAAATTTG